ATTTTTCTTACATTTAATGTCATAAAAAACACATAAATCATTTTATTGTTATATCTTTGTCCCAATTTCAATCCACTGTTATCAGTAATGATTTAAAGTATGCTTAATCAAATAGCAATTATAATATATAATATATTATGCATCATCAAAAATTCTGACATAAATCAAAAGGAGACTATTACCCTTAATGATTTATACAAAGAACTATCATAGTATTCTATACATTCAAAAGTGGGTTCTTGGGCTTCCCAGGTGGCGCAGTGGTTGAGAGTCCACCTGCCGATGCAGGGAACACGGGTTTGTGCCCCGGTCCGGGAAGACCATGTAAAGACCTTCTTTGAAATCCCTCCTAAAGTAAGCATAGAGCAAGAAGAGAACTGAATCCAGGAGAAAGCAATGAGATATGGACTTAATAAATTTTATTAGTGTCTAAATAGTGGTTTCTCCCCTTCCCTCCCTCTCCCCCCCCAAGAAAAACAAAAAAAAAAAAAAAAAAAAAAGTGGGTTCTTCAAAAAATTAAAAATAGAACTAACATATGATCCAGCAATTCCACTCCTAGATATTTACCCAAAGAAAATGAAAATACTAACTAGAAAAGATGCATGCACCTCTATATTCATTGCAGCATTATTTGCAATAGCCAAGATGGGGAAGGAATCTAAGTGCCAATCAATACATGAATGGCTAAAGAAGATGTGGTATATATATATATATAAGGGAAATAGGTGAAGGAGATTAAGAGGTACAAACTTCCAGTTGCAAAATAAATGACTCACAGGTATGAAATGTACAATGTGGGGAATATAGTCAATAACTATGTAATATCTTTGTATGGTGACATAAATAGACTTATTGTGGTGACTACTTTGGAATGTATAGAAATATTAAATCACTATGTTGTGTAACAGGAACTAACATAGCTCTGTAGACCAATTACACTTCAAAAACAAACCAAAAATTGTGGACAAAATTAAGTTATGCATTTTCTCTTAAGTAAACATCTGAACCTATTTGGTCTCTTGATTGGGAGTCCATCTTGCCAAAGATAACTTAAGAAGTAGGAGGGATGAGAAATAAAAGTGTAAATTTATTAATTCTTGTTAATATCTGTACCCATTCCAAGTTCTTTTTTGGAAAAAAAAAAAAAGATGCTTTTAAGACCATAGAAAATTCGGGTTCCCACCTCCATTTTTTTTCATAGAGTTTAAAGTCTATAGTGGAAGATATTCTACAGTGCAGCATGCATTTTAAACACTTTATGTTATAAAATACCATAAAATAGTCTGTGAACTTCACTGGAGCACCCATTATGTGCTTCCTTTAGATCCCAGCACGGTGCCTGGAACGTAGTGGTGCTCAATAAAATTCTGTTGGCTAAACTGATCAATGCCTTCTTCAAAGAAGTCTTCCTTGAGTTTCCATCTTATACTACAAACAAGAGCAATCCATTTCCATCATACATATGTTGCATCCTACTGTATTGTGGAGTCTGCATTTGCTTGTGTGTATTTTGGGTAGGGGATGGGGAAGAGTCTTATTACCATGAATAAATTATAATGCCATTAGGCATAATAACTGTATATAATTTATTTAGTTGACACATGGACTTTATATAGCTCTGTATATAAACAGCTAGCTTAGCTCATTAAACAGTTTTTCCCCAGTGAATAAAAACAGAATGAACCATTTGCTTTGGAGGTACCTAGTATCCTCTTTCTGTACTGTCTTCCTCTGTGATGTTATTACTTTTCTGCCTGGGTATCTTTATCTAATGCTCTATTCCCCTGCCTATTAACAGGAAAAAAATTCTCATCAATCATTTATCCTTAAACATAAATTGGTTTTCCCAGGTATTTGCAATTTAATCCTTTAGTCATTATTGGGAATGAAAATCTTAGATTCCTCTATGGAGATTTCTGGTTAAAGAAATGCAGAAGATTGACAGAAAGGGTAAAAACCATTTATTTATATCCTACATTTTACTAGGCTGCTGGGCATCATGCCAGCTTGGGATCACATTCTGCCATTAAGATAATTAGATAAGCAGATGCTATACCTCCTTCACCACTCTGACCTCCATATAAATGCATACACACAAACCCTTCAGCAAACTTAAAATCTCCAGAGATGGGACTGAACATATGTACATTTTTTAAAAAATTATAATGATATACTCTCAATGTTGAGAATTACTGTACTAGGCCCTTTTGTATGGTATTTTATTTAATCTCAAAATAACCCTATGAGGGAAGTACTATTACTACCATTTTATAGATAAGTTGAGACTTAGGGAAGCTAAGTATCTTGCTCAAGGCCACAAGACTATTCGCCAGAGAGCTGGAATTTGATTCCAGTTCA